ACTGTTTGTTTGTTTGTTTGTTTGTTTATTATACTGGGACATGCTACAGGGGAAACCCACAAGTTACTCAGGGGCAATCATGGTCATTATGATTCAAGGTAGTCACAATTATGCCTATTTGTGCCCATAAATGCCCCAAATGAAGTTGTGGCCTTAGAAAAGAATGGTAATTGGGTATGCTAGTGTACACCTGTAATCCTAATACAAGTAGTAAAATTGTTGTTCAAGACAAGTCTGGGTTGCATGGTGAGTATGAAGCCAGCCTGAAGTACATAGTTAGCCTTCAAAAATCCAAGGTCTAGGAATATGACTTAGTGGTTTAATATTTGTCTAGTGTGTACAAGGCCCTAGGTTCAGTCCTTTGAGAGAGGGAGGGAGAGAGGAAGGAAGGAAGGAAAAAAGGAAGGAAGGGAACGGAATGGAATGGAAAGGAAAAGAAAGGAAGGGAGAGAGAAAGAGAAGGAAAGAAGGAGGGAGAGATTGAAATAAGAATGACTTTACTGATGAAAGTGATGCAATACAGTTCCAGAACATCATGGCCCCAACTCTACTGAAGTCCTTCTGTGTGCAAAGCATGGTTTTCTATGCAGGAGATCTAATACCCAGCAAATTCCCTGCCTATCAGAGGGTGAAGACTGTTACCCAGGAAGTAAAGTAGTTGTAATGTTAGGAGTGAAACATGAGGAAAAATGGAATCATTTCACCTTTTTAAAAATTTATTTTATTTTTGTGTGTATGAGTGTTATGTCTGCAGGTATGTAAGTGCACCTGTGACATTCAATGACTATGAAGAGGGTGGTAGAACCCCTGGAACTGGAGTTAGTGACAGTTGTTAGCCTCGGTATAGGTGCTAGGAACCAAACCCTGGTCCTCTGGAAGAGCAGCCCATTCAATGACTATGAAGAGGGTGGTAGAACCCCTGGAACTGGAGTTAGTGATAGTTGTTAGCCTCGGTGTAGGTGCTAGGAACCAAACCCTGGTCCTCTGGAAGAGCAGCTCTGAGAAGACGATGTACTGAATAGCTAAAAAAGGAACTTCCATTTCCTGTGATGAGTGATGAGACAGTAAGGGGGGTGGTGTTTAGGGGATCCATAAGTGTCTTTGTGTCTTTCTTGCTCTCAAATCCTTAGTTTTCCTTGACCTTTTTGTGGTATTCGTTTAATATCTGAGTAGGAGTCTGCATCTAGACTTCACTGGAAAGCCACTTATAGTTAGGGTGGTGAATTTGGCCACTTCTTTGCTTTAAATTGTTTCAAAGCATGAGCTTTGTCCAAAAAAAAAAAACTTCTGGGAGATGTAGAGTCAGTTTTATTTTTCTTTTTTAAAAATATTTTATTTTTATTTTATGTGTATGAATGTTATGCCTGCATGTAGGTAAGTGCACCTGTGTCGTGCAATGCCTACGGAGGACAGAAGAGGTTATTGGATCCCCTGGAACTGTAGTTACAGACAGTTGTTAGCTGATACGTGGGTGCTAGGATTCAAACCTGGGTCCTCTGCAAGAACAATTAGTGTTATTAACTGCTGAGCCATCTCTTCAGCCCCAGAGTAAGTTTTCTTTAAGGGTGTGATGCTTAGTAGGTTGTCCCAGCTCAAAGGATTGAACTTACACCCCAAAGCATGTGAGGGAACACAAATTAGACTTGATAACTCTTAAAAATTAGAAGACATGAAGTGAAGGGGTGGGTAGGGAAGTAAAGGGTGAATCTGAAAGGAGATGGAGGAGGAAGTCTGATTTAAAAAAAAAAAAACTGGGTCAGTCAATAGGAGGTTCAGGATCTGAGTGCTTCCTGGACTTTGTGGTGCAGAAGTGGCTGAGGAAGGAGTAACCAAAGACAGACAGTCATAATATCCTGTAAGCAAAGGAAGAGACATCCTTTTGAGAAGAGTCCTTGACTGTTATGCACATGCCTGGACTGCTACTGTGTTTCACTGTGGAAGGTGGAGATGTTGAGCTATCTTAGTGATATGGCTGATCAAATGGATTGCTGTGGATATCAGAGAACAGAAGCATGAAACCAAAGACATATGGCTAGAAAATTTCATAATTGTGGCTTCAATGAGATAATGGGTATGAGTTGTGTGTAAAGCTGGATTTCTATTTAAGATAGGTGAACTTGTGCTTGCTTCAGCAGCATGAATACTAAAACTAGAATAATACAGAAAATAGCATGGCCTGTATACAAGAATACCACACACAGTTGTGAATTGTTTCATATTTTTAAATAAACATATTGGGAAAGAAACAAGGGAAATAATTCCATTCATAATAGCCTCAAAAAACTTAGAATAAATCTAACTCAAAAATGAAAGACTTGTATAATGAAATCTTTATGAAATTGAAGAAAGAACTTGAAGAAGACACCAGATTGAAAGACTTCCTATGCTCATGGATCAATAGGATTCAAATTATGAAAATTCTGGTATCCCTGCTACTGTCTGCTGTGTTGTCAACACCCCCAGCCATTCCCCACTACTTGCTTATTGCTGTAATAGTGGCTTGAATGTTGTGGAAGTAACTAACCACCTCCTGGTTTGACTGAAGGTCAAACTCAGAAGATGGAACCCATATGTGGAACTGTTTTGAGGACCAAGAACATGTGGCCAGACAGGCCACAGAGAAGAAAAACTGCTACTATTATGCTGCTAAATACTGTATTAAATCAACTCTTAATGACTTATTGTTATACTCATAGATTATGCATCTCTCAACCCTCATCAGAGAAGCTTCTTCTTGCAGTAGATGGTGATTAATACAGATACTCTCAACTGGTCAATGTGCATAGAATAAGGGACTTTGGCATGCTAAGCCCTAGGTTTCAGAGATCATTGTGGAAGAGGAGGCAAAAAAGATTGTAAGAGCTAGAGGTGATAGAATAATACAAGGTAACCATGTTTTATGGACACAACAGGGCATTTCCACATATGAGCCCACAGTACTTGTGACTGCATGCATAAGACCTGTGCAAGCCCAAGCGAGATAAAAAATCCACCATGAATTTGGGAGGCTGGCAAGAAGTCTAAATCCTGGGGATCTAGTTGCAAGTGGTAGTTGCTGGGAGGGGCCAATCAGGTTTCTTTAAGGGAGCGATATCTGGTAAGTTGACCAGACCCAATGGAATGAAAACATACCGAAGAGCATTTGGGGGACATAGAAATTAGACTCTATAGGCCTTTAAAAAAAGAAAAAATGATGATAGAGGACATGAAGTGTGGTGGTGGGTAGTAAGATAAGAGTTGGAATAAGGAAGGCAGTTTGAATATTATCAAAATACATTGTATGAAATTCTCACAGAATCAATTGGAAAAAAGATAGGAAATTTTTAACCATATTTTTACCTTAGTGGAAAATGTATTGAAGGGGAGGAGAAACTGTTAAAGCAGGCATAGGAGAGGACAGTGAATGAAATTTTTCCCATTGTAATGAAGAAGGGAGGCCACAAGTATGGATGACCTGTTCAGGAGTACAAACTCTCCAATGATGGACAAGAGGCATGTACAGTCAAGGCAGCTGCAAGGATATATCTGGTGAGGAACTCAGGCGATTCTTTTGTGGTGATAAGGAGGAGTGCATTCAGGTATGGGGGATATTTACATGAAGGTGAAGGAAGAATTATATGATTACCATATGCTGTATCATTGTACTGTTGAATGTTGTGAGAAAGCACTCTGGAGTTGTCTGACAGCATGAGATCTTACTAGGAGCAGTGATCATGAATTGAGTTTAAAGCTAACTGGCCCGTGTGGATTCCATTCTGGGGCTTCAACTACACAGTAGGCAGGATGGGGGCTTATGGATACATCAGAAGGAATTGACAGAAGTTGTGAAAAACAGTCACTATATTAGCCCATGAAATTTAAACCGAGTAATGCACATTCAGGATGTGGGCCAAATTCAATGATGTAGGTAAGACTAACAGATTGGGCAGGGGAAAAGTTTGGTCAAATGCTTTTGGAGTCATGCTCTTACATGATAGCAGGATCTTAGATTTCAGTTAATGGAGGAAGTACCTTCACAACTTGAGACTTAGAGACTGGCTGTGGGGATGGTAGCTGAGATAGATGGATGGAGTCTTAGAGAAAATCTTTCTTTTATCTACTACTACCTGTTCTCCTCCTCTCTTTTTCTTCCATTCTTATTTCTTTCTTTCCCTTTCTTTCTTCTTCCTTTTTTCTTAATATTGCAATTCTTGTTATATGTTGTGATTGATTCTCATTTATTTCCAGAGTCCAAATAAGATGCCTAAGCCTAAATACTCTTGCTTTAGTGTTGTGTCCACTAGCAGTTTATCAAATTTACTTTTGGCTGGGACTTTGATTAGTCAGGGATCTCTAAAGAAACAGAACTGTTGAAATGAATATATCTATACAGGTATTTATTAGATTAGTTTACAGGATAGACAGAGTAGTCCGACAATGACTGCACAACACTGAAGAGGCTAAAAATGCTGTAGTTTCTCAGTCCATAAGATTGGGTTCCTTAGGCGTCCCAATCTGGCACCGAAGGCTTGAAAGATTTCTGGAGATCTACTAGTCTTCAGTGTATGTTGGAATACAGAGATGGCTCTACTATCAATGGAGTAATGCCACAGCAACAAAATGAAACCACCAGTGAGAGAGAAGGCAAGCAGGCAAAAAGGCAAAAGCTCTCTTCTACCACGGCCTTTTATATGGACTGCCATCAGAAATTAATACCCACATTTAGGGTGGACCTTCCAGCTTCAAATAATCCAGTCAAGACAGTCTTTCTCATTTCTGTTAATTCCAAATCTAGTCATCTTACAACAAAGGTTAGCATCACAAGTCTACCCCTTGTTAACCTGACACCCAATTGCATCTTCTTAGGTCATGCTTAATTTTCAAATGAAAGTAATAACAAGGTCATAATTCCACGTAACATGATACAATTCTCCCATGTACAATCACAAATGCATTATATATCTTAGAGTATGTAGTGAGGTCCTTGAGGAATGCTTAGTCCTTTAATATCTCATGTCTTAAATATGATAATATAGATTTACAACATTTAATCACTTTACACTTATCTCAATTACATATTTTTTGAAAAGGGAAACAAAACAAAAATATCTGCTTAATATATATGTATATATGCACAAGCATATTCTTAACTAAATAGGACAGAAGCAATCATGGCAATTACAATCCCTCACTTCTGCAGCTGATTACATGGTTTCAGCTGATATTTATAAATATTCTACTAATCATTCTGCATTTCCTCCACCATCAGCAATCACCTCTGCAGGTCTTAGCTCTTTTCCTGGAGGAGTGACCCACACTTTCATCCCTGAAGGGTCTGGGCCATTTTTCTATCCTACCTGGATTGGGTTGTTTCAGTTTCCCATTGACTGTAATCAGAGGATATAGTAACACCAAAAGATGCCCTGCCTTCCAGACATAATCGTCCTTACCTCTGTTGTAGAGAACCAACCCAATTTTCCTCCAGTAGTCTGGATGAATCAACCCTCCTAATACTGTTATTCCTTTCTTAGCTTGTTGACTTAAAGGCATCAGAAGCCCAACGTGCCCAGGGTAAGCCTTAGCTTCCAGTTCAATACAATATTCATTGTGTCTCTGAGCAGAAACACATCCCCCTCCCCCGGAAACAAAAACTCTAGGCCAGCAAAGCACAAAGTTATGGCTACAGGGAACAAAAATTTTCCTAGTGAGTCACTAGGGATGATAGTAAGCAGAATCATTCCCACTTCTACCCTTTGATTCCTGCAATGTGTAGAAGAAAGTGTCATATATTAGATGCTAGTTCAAAGCATATACTGCTTTCTGGAGGACCCTGCCTAAAACCTCCAGACTATTGTCACCTAACTGATGCTCTAACTGTGTCTTTGAACAGTCATTCCACCATTCTATCAAGCCAGCTACTTCTAGATAATGGGGAACATGGCAAGACCAGTGGATGCCATGACCATGGGCCCACTGTCAAACTTCTTTGGTTGTGAAGTGAGTTTCCTGGTCAGAAGCAATGCTGTGTGGAATGCTATGATGGTGGAGAAAGCATTCTATAAGACCCTGGATGATATTTTTGACAGAAGTATTACATGCAGGAGAGACAAATCCATAACTAGAATGCATGTCTATATCTGTAAGGACAAAGCACTAACCCCTCCATGATGGAAGTGGTCCAATATAGTCAATCTTCCACTGGGTTGCAAGCTGTGGAACACCTTGAAATTTTAAGATTTGGAGCATGGCTGTGGGGTGGGTAGCTGAGGAAGATGGATGGTAATCCATCCATCTCTTTTTTAGAGAAAAGTCATTCTTTGCCTTCCTCTACTGTTTCCCCTTCTTCTCCTCTCCTTTTTCTATGATTTTCACATCTTCATTTCCCCTCCTTTCTCATTTCTTCATTTGTTTCTTAATATTGTGATCCTTGGTATGTATTGTGATTGATACCCATTTTCTCCATAGTCCAAATAAGGTGTATATATCTATATATTCTTGTTTTAGAGTTGTGCCCACTAACAGTTTGGCAAATTTATTGGTTTTACAGTTTAGAGTTCCAGTTCCAATAAAGGACACACCATTCTCCTTATGTCCCTAGCAATGTGATAAGTACAGGTAGTAAATATGTAGCACAGTTTTGGAGTGAACAAATTAAGAAAATATAGAAAGAGAATCAAACTGATATTTCACTATCAGTATCTAAGAATACAGTATACTTAGAAAGTGATATTAGTCCACCTTTATAAGAATAAAAAATGCAGAATATAAGAAACCTCGAAGTTTGAAATGATACCTAGAAAGAGAATGTAATACCAAAATATTTTTAAAATTTCATGTGTGTTGTCTGTTTCTCTTCTGTGTGTGTGAGTGGGGAGGGATATACAATATAAAAGTTCTAGCCATTTTGAAGCCTTTTCTTTTCATTAAACAGTATATTATAATTAAACAGAGGTGGGTTCACAGAAAGACTTAATGGACTGCAGAATTTAGGAAAACCTGCTATTTCTTTTAGGAGACAACTATGTGTGATGCTTTTAGGTAAGATTTGCATGGGCTTCTAAGATGGTAGATACAAAACATTTCAGATAAAAGGTTCTTTCTTAAATTAATATATATGCAACTGATTGTTAGTTTTAATAAATTCAAAAAAAATCTCCAAATATTCTTTGTTGTTAGATACTTTAAATATATAGATAACTTAAAATCCTTTTGGGGGTGTGCTTAGGAGATAGCTCAGTACATAT